ATTAAAGGGAATATTAGCAACCTAATTACTTTTGCCTGTAGATGTGTGTGCATTATGACACTGTCCCCTCAAGCATCCTGAGGTGGGAAGTGTAGGTGGCACTCTTTCCATTTTACAGATGAGATGCTGAAACCCTGGAGGCTGTTGGTTGCCCAGGTTACACTGATAAAAAAGGTAGAACAACCTTGGTCATCTGGCCTGTCCCCTCCACCACTGACATTTAATTATCTGCCCAAGGTGCATAATAAGTCCTCCATTTATATTTGTGGAACTAATGTTCTTTTACTAAAAAAAAAAAAAATCGAAGATCCAAGTAAACACCGAGAGTTGTTTTTTGTTTTTTTTTTTTTTTGATGTGTTATTTTCTCAAAATATATCATCTGGAATGTAAACTATGATAATATCATTTACTTTATTCAAAGTCAGCTCAACTAAAAAAATATTTATCCAAGGTTTACCGTGTCACCAGAGATTGAGTTTAGTACTTGAATCCACATTTATGATGTTTGCATTTCAAGGAACATCGGGTCAATTCTGTACAAATCATTGCTATATAATGTGTTTTGGGGGGTTACTTAGTATGGGTCCACCAATTAATTTCATCATAATGAAAAATGGCAAAACAAGAAATCCCCATGACTCAGTTTGGTTTTAAATGATCTAATTATAATTCATTTCACACTCAAACCTTATGATACGGTTCTTGGTTTGTAAATCCATTGAATTTATTTTTCTTAGTAAGCACAAATAATGTACTGGAAAAAATATGGGGAACTTTGCACGTTCTGTTAGAAAGGGAAACAAGAAGTAAATCAGTTACTGTCACAAAATGAATGTTAAGTTTTTGGGTTATTGTTCCTTTTTGAATTGTTTTATTCTATAAGCATGTAAAATAGGAACAAAAGTCTTCAGTGTCTGTCCCTCCTGCCAGCCCCAGTTCTACTTCTGGCTGGTTAAGTAGCTGGACTTTGGAGCCAGATCGACCAGGGTTGAGTCCAGCTCCATCACTTCCCAGCCACACGGCTCTGGGCAAGTTGCCAATCTAAGCTTCTCATCTTAAAAATGAGGGTAAGAATAGGACTCAGCTTCTAAGGTTATTGTGAGGATTCGGTGAGATCATGCAAGTAATCTTCTTGAAAAGTGGCTGGCGCTTAGTATATACCTAGCAAGTATTAACTAGTGTTAGTATTTATTTTAATATTATTAGTTATATTTGATAGTATTGGATTTTGGTGAAGGCATTGTTTATGTATATACTATGAGAAAGGAAAATATCTGCTTCCTTCGATGTCCTATTTCCCAGTGATGTTGAAACTTAAGATCAGAAAAAACTCTAGAGTTCTCTGATTTCACCATTGAATAACAGGAGGTAATTAAATGTTCCCTGCAAAAAATTTTAATTCTAGTATTCAATACCAGAAAAAAAAAAAAAAAAACGAACCCTATTTACTTCCTGGATAGAGATGCAAACAGCAATAAAACACAGCTGCTGTTATCACTCCATTGGCACCATCTCTGCTTGGTACCAAGAGAGATAATGATCTTGCAGTATAATTTTATAAGGAGATAACAAAATCAATTACATTATCTCAGGGGTAAACACTGAAGGCCTTATCCCATTGCTGGTTAAGATGGGCTGTAACTGTGGCAGCTGCTCACCCAGCATCACAGATTATTTTAGATGAAAGAAAACATGGGCTAATAAATTAAGATTTGACAACATAGGAGTGTAGATGGCCTTACAGTTTGATATTCAAGAATGAAACCAGCAATACAATTGATGGATGAAAAGTCAACACAAAGCAACCATGGACATGAGTGAAGACAGTGATAGACAAACAATCCGGTTCATTTTCCATGATTAACTTGTAAAGTTTTCACAAAACCTTGAAAAAAATCTGCAAACTGTTTGGATCCACTGAAACTCCATGTGATCTTATAAAATATTATGAACCACAAAAATAAAAGGCTAAGAAGAAATATAGGAGGCTGTCGGGATATGTTGTTTCTATTAATTGTAATGACCGTAGAGCTAGTAGGATCCCTTCCAAGGTATAGTTAATTGAAGTAGAGAACATCTTTTATTGTTATGAAATTTAACTTCATAGACAGGATTAATTTATGGATATTCAACCCATTAAATAGAATCAATAATTATGAACTTCTGTAACCAAGTCCATGAGATTTCAGGGCCAGACAATCTGCTTTATAAAAAAAATGAATTCAACACTGACCCAAGTTTCGTGATCTCGGGCAAGTTACTTATCTAAGTCTTTCAGAATAATCATAAATACCAAGTAGTATCGTATTAAATAACTGTGCTAAAATTGTACTTATTAGCACATAATGATCAGTTGAGTATAAATGATAAGAGGCTTCCATTCTGCTTTTTTTCTCACTCAAGTTTTTCATAAATTTATGTCTTCTTTTCTATTTGAAAAAGGATTTTTATTTTACCTTGCTCCAGTGACTCTGTACTGTTTATTCCCGTTTTTTTGCAGTGTATAATTATTCTGGTCTCTGTATATCTTAAATTTAGCATGCATTTTAACCCTGACACTCTGTCCAAAAGGAAAGACACTGTAATAACCCTTGTTTTCCTTTGCTATGCTAGGTAAGTTGGCAGGGTTAACCATAAGACTGTTCAATCGATGGAAAAGGGCTTGCAAATTCATGAGTAGCAATGATATGATGTAATTTCTTACTTGTTTTTCCTTGTCTCATTTCCTTTAAGTTTTTCATTACCTTACTTTAAATAAAGCAAAACTTTGCTCATGGTTGGCATTTAATAATTGAGAGGGAAGGAAATAAATATTTTAATTGTGACCAGCGGCAACAAGCTCCTTCGTGGAAGCTGAACAGACAGTTGTTAAATTATGCAGATTAGGAAGCATCTGCCTCCTGCTTCTCGTATTCATATGAAGAACTAGTTGGGTTCATTTCTTAGGTTAAAGTAAGTACATTAGAAGGCGAAGCTGAATAATACATATAGCATTTTTTAATCTACAGTTAGGGTTCTAGTGTTAAAGGGACCTTAGAGATGAAATGGCTCAACCTCTTTAGTTTATTACCAAGAGGAGTTAGCAAGGACCTGAGAGGGTAAATGGGTCATCCTGAGGTGTTGAGCTTCAAGCGGAAGTCATTTCCTATTCTTCCCATTTAAGTCTTGCTTGAGAGCACTTGTTTTACCGAAACTTCCATCTGTTCTAGGGACACTTACATATCTACCAAAAATGTATGGGGAGATAATGACTGTGGCTGAGAAGATCAGCTTCTTAAAAACCAGAGAGACCCGGTTTTCAAATCCGCTCTTCACTACTTACTAGCTCTGTGACCTCGTACACAAGTTACCTAATCTCTCTATGCCTCAGTGTTTTTATCTGTAAAGAGGTTGATAAACTCCTGTCATCTTCAGTAGAAATAACAAAAACTTCATAGATTTATTATTGATGATAAACATGATAATGTATATAAAAGACCGTCACCAAGCCTGGTGCATACGAAGTGGTCAGTACACATAAACTGTTATTATAATATAAATGAGAAGTGGGGAAGACAGTTGAAGAGAAGTGTTGGAGGCAAGGATAGGCCTGTGTTTTGCTAATAGCGGACCGCTGATGTAGCTGCAAGCTTCTTCGTAGCCAACATGGAGAAAGACACATGATTGATTATGTAGTTCACAGGGGACTTTGTCATACTAATTCTATATATCCAGCCAAGCCAGAACCACATTCCTCCGATTTTCTGAATTTCCAAACAAAATCTCTTTCTACCAGACATGGAGGTATAGGTTACTGAGACTTGATGAATTACAGTAAGGGCTGTCCATGTTTGGCCAAGACTCTCTTAGCATTTCCCACAGAGCCCCCCAGCTTCTTGATCACACTTGTAGGAGAAAACCTGGTCAAAGGTCTTCTACTCAGCACATGCCATTCTCAGGAAAGCCTTGGACCTTGAATGAATTTGCTTATACCCCTCACCCGTGTCAGAAGCTCCTTAACCGCAGGGACCAGACTTACTCACCTTTACTTATTTCCTCAATGCTTCCCACAGCGAGTGGCGGATACTCAGGACATGTTTGTGATTTGCAGAAATGAATGAACATGTGTGATTGAGTTGCTGGTATGAAAACCCTGCTGGTTTAGGACTGGCTGTAACAGAGAGATTATTTCCAACAATATGAACTTTTTATCCAGCTCTGAGGATGGCGCTCAAGGCTTAAGCCTTAGTATGTTAAAGGAAAAATAAAATCTATATGAGTATGAACTCTTCTTCCCTGGGTAGTGATGTGTAACAATTTGTGTTATTAAATGCCAAAATGAGGAAAAAGCAGTTTTCTTCAAAAAGGAGGGAAGTACAATTTGAGCACCTCCAGTATCTTTCAGAATAGGTAAGCTAATCAATTACCTTTCAAGACATGTATATTATTATAAGTCATGTAAGGTCATGGCGTGAACCTCATATTTCAAAAAGATAGTATTTACACTTTTCTTGGGATATCACCAACAGAGGAAATGTGGAAAGATTATGCTATCATGAAAATGTTTTAAATTTGCTTATTGATATTGTAAAATTCCCTAAAATTTCTTTAGAAAATATTTAAAGTTGCTTAATTTTATATGATATTTTTTCCATGTGTTTGTTAGAGTTAAGAATCAATTCCTTTTTTCTGAATAACCATTCCCAAACCAGTCTCCCTGGAGTCTCCTCATTTATCCAAGTTAATGAAATTGGATGAAAGCTATGTTGGCCTTTATTCAATACAGTGTCTCTCTTTCTTACTTGCTCGTGATTAAGGCTCTCACTCTAATTTAATTTACAGGCTGAGTCCTTTAAATGTTAAACAAGAAAATAAATGAAGAGATGTTTGGGATAACTGGTGCTCACACAGAGCTATTTGACTCGTTTCCATGTGCTGTGTCTAAGCCTGGATTCATATTGTCGAATAGGGTTTTATTTGACCAAAATAATAAATTCTTGTAACCCCCTTTTCTCCCCAGCGCCTTTGCTCCTACCCTGTCCAAAGCCAACATGTCACTGAAAAATGAGCCCAGGGTAAATACCTCTGCACTGCAGAAAATCGCTGCTGACATGAGTAATTTGATAGAAAATCTGGACACTCGGGAGCTGCACTTTGAGGGAGAAGAGGTGGATTACGATGTATCTCCCAGCGATCCCAAGACCCAGGAAGGTAAAGACTGGTGGTCTGAGCCCGAGGAGAGTTTATCAGGGTCGCCTGGCAGAGCGCAGATTGGAAATAACCAGCAAATGGTTGATCTTCCTTGATGATATCCTACCCTGGGCTGAGGCCATTTCATTAGCTCTTTTCTTGTTGTAGCCGGTTAGGATTCTTAAACAGATGCCCGTGAAAGGCAAGTTGTGCTAATGTTGTGTCTCCTTGCAGTATCATTGTATCCTTGCAATAACTTTATTTACTTGTTTATTTTTTAGTGTGTATTCCTTTCTCTGCTGTTTATAAGACTCAAGGATTTAAGGAGCCTAACATACAGACGTATCTCACCGGCTGTCCAATAAAAGCTCAAGTTCTGGAAGTGGAGCGCTTTACGTCTACAACACGGGTCAGAGCATTTATGGACTCACCTCGTATTTGTCAATGTATACCAACCAACACACTATTTCATTTTCCTTCCTCATAGCTACGATAGGTTTTTAGCTTTTTTTTTTTTTTATTCACTTGTAAGTCCTCTTCACCTCTCAAGTTTTTGCTTTCCATTTTGTCTTGATGCTCATATGCCTTTTTCCTCATTCTGGAAAATGCTTTATAAAAAAGTCGGTATTTAAGGCAATTTTTATGTTTAATAAATTGCTGAGTGCCTCTCCTAGTCCTTCTCTTTCCTCAATTTTCTGTTTAACATGGAATCCTGGGGCCTAGACGTTTCACCTAGAATGTCACCTATAAGCCAAGGAAAAGTTTAGCTTTCTTAATTCTGGTTTAACAAGAAAATAATGATGCTACCCAGCTCTTGGGGAGAAAAAAAAAGCCAGGATGTTGAGTCGGCCGGTGTCCATACCCAGAGACAGTGCTGAGAGAATACTGCTGGCATCTTCTGCCGCTCTCTGATCTGCTCCTGGCACCTGTCTTTTAGGTCTGTTCATGGGGCCTGAGTGCTGGAAGGCATCTTCCATGAAGATGACTTCATCAAGCAAAGTGTCGCTCTTTGGTTTGGAGTGGACTGGGTTGTTAGGGGAGCTGCCTGTGCTCTGGTACTGACTGTATATCACAGTTGTCAGGTCTGATAAGTAGAGGACATGGCTGCAGGCTGGTGGCCTGTGTCCCTTCGGGTTGAGCTCTGGCCATGGCAGACTAAGGCCACCTTTACTCCTGCCTCAGGGGAAGTGTAGAATAGCCTTTCCCCAGAGGCAGGTTCTGCCTGTCTTTCCTCCTTGTCTCTTGCAGGGTGGCATGTGCTGCCGGGGTCCTGGTAGCTTTGCTTAGAGGTCTGTGCTGACCTACCTGTGTGTGTGTTCTGACTCCGAACACCCACCTTTATGTGTAGCCTTTCCTTTCCTTTAGGCTCTTTATATGAGTGGAGTCTCTATGTCCCTGATCTACCCCTGAGCACAACACACTCAGAAATGTCTCTGAGATGGCCTTCGTCTTCTTATTTTGCCTACCAGCTTTTAGACTGAGAGGGGCTACACATGCTCAGTGGGTTAAATGCACAGACTCCAGAGCTGAACTGCATGGTTTAAATCCTGTCTTTGCTCTGTGATCTCCAGCAAGTTACTTAATCTTTCTGTTTCTCAGTTTTCACATGTGAATAATGGTGAATAATGGGTGTAACAGTGCCCACCGAATGGATTTCTTATGAGGATTTAATAATAATAATAATACACAACATTGTGCAAGGATATTGCAGATTGTATTGTTTTGGTTTTTTACAAATATTTTATTTATTTCTGAGAGAGAGAGACAACATGAGCAGGGGAGGGTCAGAGAGAGAGGGAGATACAGAATCTGAAGCAGGCTCTCTGAGCTAGCTGTCAGCACAGAGCCCAACACAGGACTCGAACCCACGAACTGTGAGAACCTGATCCGAAGTCAGTCGCTTAACCAACTGAGCCACCCAGGCGCCCCAGCAGATTGTATTTTTGGGAAGCAAGAACGTTCTGTCCTTTCAGAGGGCCTCCTAGCTGGACTAAGACTCAAATTGACATGAGACTGATTAACAGGAGAAGATCAAATTTAACTTCGTAAGTACAAGGGATCCACACAGACGTGGAAATTCCAAAGACAGGCAAATCCCGGACTTCAAAGGGAGAGCAAATGTTTGATAACGAATGTTTACCGGACCACTTGGAAACAAGGACATGGAGGACTTTGATCAAACAGGCCTTGCTAGTTCCTCCCTGTCTACCATACCTGGCTCGTCATATAATGTAGTTATCTGTGGCCATGGCTCTCCGCCTGGAGCAGGTCCTCTATCTCAGTTCTTTCTGGGCAGTTGAGGGGAGGAAGTAAAAAGCTTTTCCTGGATCTGCTGGGTTTTGATTGTTTAACTCAAAATAATCTTCATGGCAAAGTGGCCCATCTTGGGGTGGCCTGTTCTTGGCCCTTATAGTATTACATACGCATACACTGTATGATATTACGTATTATTATTAATAGTAAGTGTCTCCTAAAGTTATTCACAAAGATAAATAAATATCCAAGACACCAAACCAGGGACTTCTCTGTGCTTGGATTCTTCCGTTAGTCAGGTGAGTGTGGTTTAATCCTATTCTAGTCTGAGTCTGTGTGAGAAAGTGTAGGGTCATCTTTTTTTTTTTTTCTTTTTGTATGTTTATTTATTTTGAAAGGGAGAGAGAGAGAGCGCGTGCACACACGTGCGTGCAGGAGATGAGCAGAGAGAGTCTCAAGCAGGTTCTGCACTTAGTGCAGAGCCCGATGTGGAGCTTGATCTCACACTGTGAGATCCTGACCGGAGCTGAAATTAAGAGTCGGATGCTTACTGACTGAGCCACCCAGGCGCCCTGCTAAGGATGATCTTTATCCTACTTTGTGTTTCGTTTACTAAGAAATAACTAAATTCATGCAGTTTAAATGTGATTCCAGGTGAATAAAAATACACTTTTTCTAATTACTGAATACATTTTATGTGCTAGCTCAAGGCAAGACATTTCTCTTTTCGTTTCTATGACAGCCCAGTGAGGCAGGTGTTATCCAGGCTCCCTCAGACCTTCCATTTGCCATCCTGTGGCCCCTCATACCCTTTCCTACCCTGTGCTCTGCCCCTCAGGGCTCTCTGCTTTTGTCCTCTGGTAGGGCCCAGACACTAAAGAGCCCAGATAGGAGATTGGGGTCACCTTGGGCTGACCATGTCCCCCTTGACCAAAGGTACCCCTTTCCCCAAGGCAGCCATCTTTACATGGTTCCCTCCTTTCTATTCCAGTACCTGGTCTTGCCTCTTGTTCCTTCAGGACTAAGGATGCCTTCAGAGTCCCAGGTTACTGTCCTTTCTTTATGCTTTCCTTACCGCTATCACGTCTTTATAATCAGTCCCTTTATTAAAACCCTTCAAATTATTCCAGTTCCAAAGAATTCCAATAATTCAGCTGGGATGTTGTCTGACAGAAGTGACACTGGGTTGGAGCTTCGCAGCTGGTTGGCTGCACCGAAGGGTTTCAGACCTTTAAAATCTTCAAGAAGGATGTGACAGCCTGTTTTCATTGTATCATACCGCGTCACAATTGCTACGACGTTTGGTGTACAAAGTCTTGGATTTATATGTGAGGGATAAAATTTGGCATTTGCAAAATTTTCTAAGTATTCTGTTTTTGTAGATTGGCAAATAGAATCCTAGGAAGTATAGTAGCTTGCCTAAATTGTATAATTTTTCTCATTTATTTGGCTCATCTTAAATTGAGCATTTTCACTTGAATGCAAAGATTCTAGCCACTCAGAGTTTTCCTGCATTCTTCTCTGTGAAACATGTTGGAGGATGATGGATGTAATGTTGGCCAAAGTAAAAGGTAGCCATATAAGATTGACCCACAGAACCGTTTTTTTCAACTTCTAGTTATAGTTACTGTCATGAAGCCTAACTAGAGGCAAAGAAAATGCTAGATTTGAATATTTACCAGTTATATGGTTGGATTCCAGACTTAGGAGCACAGGTTGCATTGATACTCGTGCTCATATTTTATATTCTAAAGCATGGCCACTCTGTGTAGATGCAAAAGTTGGCAAAATAGGACTCCAGCCCAGGAATCATGCATGTGGTTGCAGACACCAGAGCCTGGATAAATAAACTAGCAGAAGAGACGGTTCCCCTCTCTACCCCCACCATCTTTGGTGCCTAAATCTTCCAGGAAGGGCCAGTGTCCTTTGGGTAGTCAGAGTGCCCACTGCCCCTACACACCATCCTCCTGCCCATGGAGCTTCCTTCAAGATCTCCTCTGCTTTATAAACATCCCTCAGTCTCCTGACACTTTGTACTGTATCAAAACTATCCCCCAGGCCTGTTAGTTCTTCTGATTGGAAATAATTACCAAGATATATTTGCATTTTAATGAGAAATATTTTTAAATTTTTAAATGGGGATTCATTTTAGTTAAGTAATTGGGAAAATATTTTGTGCATAGGAAAGTCTTTGACTTTCTAATCATCCTGTACCTTGCTGGTCACTGGTGGTGCTGGACAGGGAGATGTTGTAGACAAGGATGGACCTTGGAATATGTTTCAGAAGGAGAAGGCATTAATGTCATCTGTGCAGGATGAGAAGTGGGCTAAGATCATGCTCCTGGAATCCATTTCCTCCAGCTTCCCACTGCCTCCAGTGTTCTGTTCACCGTTGGTACTTTTGGATGAGCAAAACTACCCCTGATGACTAATTAGGGTCTTCACTCATTGTTTCCTTTACCTGATTTCTTGTTTCAGGGCTGTGTGTGTGTGTGTGTGTGTGTGTGTGTGTGTATTTGGAGCAATACGGTTTGTGGAAGTTTGTCTTTGGTGTGATTCAGAATTTGTCCTATGTGTATTATGTACATAATATATATATGATATTTAAGGAAATTTTATTTCTATAATCAGTTGTTTTAGAAAACATTTTGTCTAAGTTAGCTATTGTTCACTGAAGGATTTTAGACTTTCTTGTTATCTAAAATATCAATCATTTTTATTGATCACTCTAGGTACCAAGTATCAATCTTTACACTATTGAATTAACACATGGGGAATTTAAATGGCAAGTTAAGAGGAAATTCAAACACTTTCAAGAATTTCACAGAGAGCTGCTCAAGTACAAAGCTTTTATCCGAATCCCGATTCCCACCAGAAGGTAACTTTCAAAATTAATTGCAAACTTATCCCAGTAAACAAGCTGGATGGAAAGAGTATTTTATCGATATTATGGGTTAACTTGTCCATTGTTGGAGGATATTTTCTATTAAATACGCTTTTCTAAAAATAACATTTAAATGAGAGTAATATTCAAAGAATAATCTAATAAATGTTTCCATTCTGTGTGTGTGTGTGTTTAGGCACACATTTAGAAGACAGAACGTCAAAGAAGAGCCTCGAGAGATGCCAAGTTTGCCTCGTTCATCTGAAAACATGATCAGAGAAGAACAATTCTTCAGTAGAAGGGTAAGCCCTTTCAGTATTCTGCTGATCAGAATATAATTTTCCAATGCTGTAGGAACGTGGCAGCTCCTGGGAGGTGAGGGGGACCTGGCTGCAATTTTTCCCTCTCCCTGATTCCTCACTCAGGCTAGCTGAGCATCTTTGGAACTTGTTAGGCAGCCATTCTTTCCCAGGTCAGAATGGCAGTGCTCAGAATGGGTGCATTTCCCAGAAGAGGAAGAGTGTTCTACGAAGAAGCATCTTTGGACTGGTTGTGAGTCCAGCTTGAGCTCACCATTGAGGGTTTTGACATCTATTCTCTTAAAAGCATTTATTTCTATCTCTTTGCTCCAGACTTCATAGTAGATTGTTCCAAATATATGTGAAGTCTTATTTCCAAAACATAAGTGGGGCCCTTGGGGTCAGAGAAGAGTAGGACAGAAGCCCCCGGAGCGGGTGCTCTGCCTCAGAGATAACGGTGCCACACAGGGTAGAAGATGAATTGTTTTTTAGTAGGAAATTAACAAGGAAATGTCAGTTCTGTTTTGTAAGCTGAAATTTTTAGGTCCTGAAAGGGATATTTGACTTCTCCTTTGTATAGCTGTCATCTTGGTTAAAATATTTTTCGGGATCTAGGAATAAATATTTTCCATGATACCTGGACATATAGAACTCTACAGTTTGGGGTTACTGTGTGCGTTTACATGAAAATGCAGCTGAAAATGAGAAGCGGTGGCTCTAACAGTTAGTGCTTCCACACATCATCATAGTCGATGTGATTGACATTACTTGCCCGCACTTGACCATATTTGAAATCAGAGTACAGTGTACTAGAAAGTCTCTCTCTCTCTTTTTTAAATTCCCCCCCTTCCCCCCCTGAAAAGCTGTTAAAAGAAGATTGCAATATATCTACCAGTAAATTTGGTGTTGAAATTAAGGAAATTGAGGTTTTTGATAAAATCAACAAATGCCTTAAAACCGTCTACTGTGGGCAAGTCCTATTGCTAGTAACTATGGAAGATTAAGAGAATATACAGCTTGGGCCTCTTCAATAGTTTATAAAAGACCTAAGCACGTGAAAAGTTAAATAGCAAGAAGGAATTTAAATAATGCTTCAGAGGAACTATGGAAATAACTCCTTAGTGCTCTTCAAGATGCCTTGTCCAGTGATAATATGAATAATTGAATACATTGCAGAAGTTAAGATTGGATACTGATCACACCATTGTCACTGTTTAAATTTTTCTCTAAGTATGAGGACGTTATCTCTTATCTCCTATATTTGTGTTACAGAAACAACTGGAAGATTATTTGACAAAGCTACTAAAAATGCCCATGTATAGAAACTACCATGCAACAGTAAGTACTGTTCAGTGACTTGAATTTTGAAGTACTTCATAAAAGCATAAATTGTCAGCTAAATTTAGGGTCATTTAATTAACACAAGTGCCTGTATCCACTTGTGCATTAATTAGTCCTTGAGTTAAAATTAATGAAATGAATGCAAAGTTGATTTGACAGCAGTAATCTAGTTTATGGTGATGCTGTTTTAAAAATATCAAATATAAATCGATGTGTCTAGAACAGTAGATTTAAATGAACTTATAACACTGCTTCAGGCTAGATTATCTAGAAATCAACATCCCTTTCTTCTCGGACTTCCAGAATAATGCCCCAAAGCATTTCTAACCCTGAAGAAAAGAACAACACTGAGTGTAAGGGATGAAAACAGCTGAGCAGAGTTGAATACCCAAGGTTAGACAGAGCGTCCGGCTTGGTTGGCCATCTGATTGGCCTGCAATGCTTCTAAAAGAGCATTTCTTTGATGTGAAAGTGAGAAACATGGGAAAAGCTAGGGAGAGAAAAAACTCCCAAGAAATAAGAGAAAAGAGATGGTGGGGCTTAGAAGCAGCCGGGAAGCACACAGCTGGCAGGCAGAAGGGAATGGGCTTTCATAGATGTTCTCAGAAAACAAGAAGCTCACCCTTTTAATGGCTTTGAAGGTGGGGTGTTTTTAAAGGGTTAGCCTTCAATTATTCAAAGGTCCAGGTAACTGAGAAGGTATTGGATTATTGTGCTTTTGTGTCTGTGTGTGTATACACAGTACAGCTGTGGGGTTGAATGTACATATGTGGTGTATGTGTAGAACTTAAAAATAGACAGATGTGGCCTACGAGATGTGACCTCTAGCTTAGAAAATGGTGTCACATAAACAGGGAAGCCATCTGTGTATTCAGGAGAGCAAACGAGGGCACCTTGACTCTTTGGGGGTTTCTGGTGACTTGCTGCACTCTTGCTGCCTGCCAGAGTATTGGCTGGAGGCCGGGACGTGCACCTGGCTGGTCCCCTTTACACACAAGTGATCCAGGGCTGAGCCACAGTCCACCTTCTGTGGCAGCTTGCACTGTTATGTTTGATGGCCTCGGAGGAAGGAGCGTCTCTGGTTTCACAACCCTGGAGGAGTGTTTTCCCAGGGAGACCAGCAACATGGGTCCAACCAGAGGGAGAATCTCAAGAGAAGGATGGTTGGAGGGACTTCTTCCCTTCTTGGACTCAGGAATGTACATGTTTGAAAGAGGATAGTGAGAAGGATATTACTGCTATTATTTACAGTTAGTTAGCTGCTGTTGTTACTGCTCAAAATGCTGCTTCCTCTTGTGTTCTCTGATACCACATATGCTGTTTTCTTTAACAGAGATTTATTTAAATGTGTACTAGTACCAGCATGCAAAACTTTCTATTGTTTTCCTCTTCTGCCTGCCTGTGACTTCACTTGTACTATTTCTTTGGGCTTTGAACCTGTGATGGCTGAGTTTAGTCTTTCCCTTCCATGTATAGTACTACATGTTGGATTCTAATGCCGATTAAAGAATTGTAACTTTTTTTAATGTTCATTTTAATTTATTTTCCAATCCTAAAAATTTTTCCAAAGTTGAACCATATTGTATCCAGAAATTCTAGAATGTCTTCTAAACATTTCCTCTGAGAGGGAAAACCTGGTGACAACTGACCTAATAAATGTCACGCCACATTTTTGATGGCTACTTATTTACCCCAAGAACAGTATTCTCCAAACTGATTCAAACTTTTTTAAGATATAATTTGATCTATCTTAATTTTCTAACTTTATTTAACTTTCATGTAATACACTCTGGCCTAGACACTAGATTTATGGGCTTTTGATTCATATTTATGAAATTAAATTGGCTTCTTTGTATCTTCTTTGGTAATTGTGAGAACTATTAAAATTCTTGTCTATTAAATCATATTAAAAGTTATTTTTATACAATTTTATATAATTAATTTATTTTTATAAGTGTAAAGCAAACCTGTTAGAAATTAATTTGGGTTTTTAGGCCAGAGGTCATGGATTATAGGTTAAGGGGTCAGATAAGATCATGTCTCAAATTTCAATAAAATTTCAGTGAAATTAGACATGGACAGATTTTCATATTTTCATATGGTCATTGATTAAGTTGGTAGTTAGATAAGTAACTTTTTCTCCAGGAGAATGACTTAAAAATTTTATTAATGTTTATTTATTTTTTAGAGACAGAGACAGAATATGAGAGGGGGAAGGGCAGAGAGAGAGGGAGACACAGAATTCAAAGCAGGCTCCAGGCTCTGAGCTGTTAGCACAGAACCCGATGTGGGTCTTGGACTCATGAACTGTGAGATCATGACCTGAGCCAAAGTCAGATGTTTAACCAACTAAGCCACCCAGGTGCCCCAGAGAATGACTTTCTAAAATTCTTTTTATCCTCTTTGAGGTTCTGGAAAACAGAATATCTTAGGGTTTTAGTGGATTTAACATGAGATAGTTCCCTCAGAGATTTTTGGTAATTCATTCTGTTTTCTTTACTCGTTTGTAAAATAAGGATAAGTGTATTTGGACTCTCTTCAAGGCATAAATATGTTTTTAAAAAAAGAGGGAAAGACATGTTTACTCAATTAACATACAAAATCTCAAACAGAATTCCTTTTGTGTTCTAAATTTTATTAGTGCTAGCTCTAGCACTGAACCTACTAGCTGGACATTTTAATTAGTGACTGGAAAATGCTTAGCTTGTATTGAATTTAAAGTAAGAGTCATTAGGAGCAGTAAATGCACTATTTTCCTAGCTGAAGATTAAAATCTAGAAGTGGGGATGCCTGGGTGGCTCAGTCAGTTAGGCATCCGACTTCAGCTCAGGTCATGATCTCATGGTTCGTGGGTTCGAGCCCTGCGTCTGGCTCTGCTGACAGCTAGCTCAGAGCCTGGAGCCTGTTTCGGATTCTGTGTTTCCCTCTCTCTCTGACCCTCCCCTGTTCAAGCTCTCTCTCTCTCTGAAATAAATAGAAACGTTAAAAAAAATCTAGAAATGGAACGAGATGAATAATTTCCAAGAGAATGGTCCTAGGTTGATAGAATGATATTTGTAACTTCCAGTAAATCATTTGACTGTTGTAACTCAGATTCCTTACCTCTGAGAGTCTAATTTCAAGCTAATTCTCTGTTGGAAAGAAGGAATCTGAAGACAAACATCCTGTAGATTAATAATACTGAGTTCACCCCTCCCTTGTTTTGTAAGATGAGTGAATTTAGTTTGAGGGAAAAAATGGGTAGAGATGAATAAAGATGCACACGGTGTTTCCATGCCAACAAAGAAGCTGTTCTCTTAAACAGCTGAGTCAGCAAATTAAAGGAAGTGTCGTCTTTCTCATGATTGAATCTTAAGAGTTGAGAGAGTCCAGCCTCTCAGTTTCCTCCACGGGTGAGACATCTTCTCTTTCCTCTGGTGCGTTGTTAACCATCTGACCTGGAAGGCAGTGTTTCCTGGAGTAGTTGAGCCTACCTCCTAGCCTCACCATAAAGGCCCTGGTCATCCCAGGGCTTTTGACTCTCTTCTGAGAATTTCCTACTTAGGCACTTGCTGGAAGTTTTGCTACCTCAGGCATAAAGGGGGCCTCTGAACACCTCCCTTCTCTTCAGTACAAAGATGAGGTAGAGATGCAGGATATACATGATTGCCAGGTAATTTCCAGGGTTTGTTGTTATCCGGGGGTCAAATGCTTGTCCCTTGTTATTGGAAGCTTTCTTTCCTTGTTTCCCTAGTGTTTAATTGTACTTTTCACAAGTTCCTTAAAAAAATATATTGACTAATGCATTATTCAAAAGATCAATAAGCCCTGTGGAATATTGTCCAGCTAAACTGATCATTAATTCATGTTCTTGAGAATCTCCTGTGTAAATAGAGAATGGAATTATTTTCACTAAAGATGCACTGAGAAGTTTGGACAACACAGTCTTTGTTAAATTTCAAAATGTGTTATTGGTGTTTGCTCTATTTTTGTGTTTATTTTTGAGAGAGAGAGAGAGAGAGAGAGAGCAGGGGAGGGGCAGAGAGAGAGGGAGGCACAGAATGTAAGTAGGCTCCAGGCTCCGAGCTACCAGTAAAGAGCCCCATGCAAGTCTTGAACTCACACACCACAAGATCATGACCTGAGCCAAAGTCTCGGACGTGTAACCGACTGAACCACCCAGGCACCTATTAGGGTTTGCTTCTAAATTGACAGTGACACATTGAGTTTTAATCTGATAAATCTATATTAAAACATATATTGCCAGCGATTTTCTTTTTTGTCTATAATAGGGCTAGTTGTTTCTTGAAATCTTCCCTAGTGATGAAGATAATTTTAAATTTTATATTGGTGCACAACTTCAAATTTTCTACATTACTAATATATATATTTTTAATTTACATTTAGCAGTTTTATTATGATATTCTAAAGTTATAATTTTGTAACTCTTTCAAAGAATACTTCTGGTTTCAACTCTATGATAAGAGCTATATGAATAAGAACCTATCCAAGTATTAGATAGTTTCCTTGATTTTTGCTTTTCATTTTCTATTTTTCCATTTACCTGTAGCTTTGCATAAATTAGTTACACCGCTGTCATAGTTCCTTCCAATATAAACCAGGATTGACATTTTCTCTCTATTGCCTAGAGATAAAATGAGAAGTTGTGGTTTAGGGTTTTAAAACAGTTTGGATTCTATGCTCAAAGTCTTCTAATAACTTATTCATCATTACATTTTCCTATTAGAAGCCTTGCCACAAATCAGATAAAAAATATACTGAATCACCATGTTTTATATAAGAAATGAAACATATAGACTTTATATAAAGTCTTTATAAAAAATTTAATGTGAGGATATGTTTGATCTGGGGTTTCTAAGTCTTTCTGAATTTTAAATACTTCCTCAAATAACCCTAAGAAAGAAATGGAAGCATTTAATTGGATAAGGACGGACAGCAGTGAAAGATTGGTATTTTTTTCTTCTAAGGTTACTAATAGATTATTTTTCATCATATATACAAAACTTTAAAGGAAAACTTATATTTTGTTTTATTAATCCCATTGACAAGCCTAGATCAAATGCCATTTCCTCTGAGGTGTCACATCAGTGAGGGAGTGGTCACCTTCCCACCATAACTACTTTGACATGTAATTGTTGTGATTCTTCCCACAGAACTATGTTGATGTGGAGTGTTTTTTCCATGTCTGGTCTCCCCTCTGCTTCCTGACACCAGGAGCATATCTTTTTTTGACTTGGAATTTTCTGTTAATGCTGTTACTGACATGGTCTACATCCATTGGTAGATCTGGGTTTACTATGACTGCTTTTAAAGAGAATACTGTAATTTGGAGTAAAATAATGTGTAATTCTAGTTGTTTCAAGGAATACGTAAGTTAAAACTCCTATATACGCTGAGAATCACATAACGTTCTTGGTTTTCTCCTCTGCACCTTCATGGTTTCATCTAACACTCATGGGGAATGGCTTACAGCTTTTGCAGCTTTGTTTTGAGGAAACTGACTGGTCTGACCTAATTCTGAGTCTAACCCTTGCTAATTATATGATATTGGACAGTTTATTTAGCTTCTTTTTTTAAAGTTTTTTTCTTTTGAGAGAGAAAGAGAGAGCACAAGTAGGGGAGAGGCAGAGAGAGAGGGGGACAAAAGATACAAAATGGTGTCTGTGCTGGCAGCAGAGAGCCTGACATGGGGCTCAAACTCACAAACTGAGAACATGACCTGAGCCGAAGCCAGACATTCAACCAACTGAGCCACGCAGGTACCCCTGGGCAATTTATTTACCTTCTTTCTCTACTCCAGAGTTTAAAAAAAATTTTTTTTTAACGTTTGTTTATTTTTGAGAGAGACAGAGACAGAGTGTGAGCAGCGGAGAGGCAGAGAGAGGGAGACACAGAATACAAAGCAGGCTCAATGCTCTGAGCTGTCAGCACAGAGCCTGGTGCGGGGCTCGAACTGACAAACCATGAGATCATGACTTAAGCTGAAGTTGGCCACTTAACCAACTGAGCCACCCAGGCACCCCTCTACACTAGGGGGTTTTTAATCTGTGGTCCACAGACCAAATCAAGCTCACTACCTGTTTTTGTATGGTCCATGAGCTAAGAATAGTTTTTACATTTTAAATGTTTGAAAAAAATTTTTCAAAGTGTAATATTTTGTGACATAAAATTATATTAAATTTTGTGTTTTAGTATGCCTAAATTAAATTTTAATGGAATGCAGTCATGCTTTTTCATTTATGTATTGTCTATGGCTGCTTTCATACTACAATAGTCAGTATGCGATTCACAAAGCCTAAAATTTTTTGTCTGACTCTTTGCAGAGAAAATTTGCCTATTCCTGTTCTAATCCTCAGGTCCTCTTCTGTAAAATGGGAAAAATAGCCCCTATTTCAGAGAGATTTGAGGCAATGTGTGAAAACTGTTTAGTACAGGGACAACAGATAGATATTAAGCACTCAGTAAATGTTAACTATTGGTGTCATTATTGTAATATTTATAGTTTTTATCTTCTCATAATTTATATAGTAAAGATGGTCCTAAAATTCTCTTCCTTTTCTACTCACTGAAAATAGAATTATTTTTATATTATTGTTACATAAAATTCTTTTATTTCATTCGTATTAAAATATTCTGGTATTCCTGATGTCCAAAGACCTCCCCAAAGTCACCTCAATCTACCCTGCCATTTAATTTTACATTACTGTCTTCCTCTTACTCACTGTAGCCCAAATGTACATCCAAAGAGCTCTTTACACCTTCCCTGGTCTGTTTCCCCCTTCATCTCCCATTTCCACATGCCAGGTCTGATCCACCATTCAGAACCGGACCCCAACATTGCTGCTTTCACACACTGCTGTTATTTCTGTGCACACTCTGCAACACAATCCCCCTTCCCCAGTGATGAAAACACAGAAGACTTTTGGGAGTAAATTCTCTCTTCTCAGTTTTCTTGAACATACTGTATTTGCTTCTGAGAGCACATGTCACTTTCCTGGTTGTGTTTTAATTATGTACACACTTCTAATCCGTTCTCTTTCAGAGATGAAAATGGGGCAATGCCATTGTTTTGATCTGTGTAGTCCCCCAGACGTGTTTACACATAGCAGTACCTAATGCATGTGTTTTTAAAATGTGTAAGTTTATCATCTTCTTTCTGATTTTCTGAAGTATGAATTTCTGGCCTCTTTTCAGACAGAATTCCTTGACATAAGTCAGCTGTCTTTCATCCATGATTTGGGACCAAAGGGCATGTAAGTTCCAGCGTTGCATCTTGAAGAGAAGTATAAAAGTTGATAAGCATTACCATTTGATTTCCCAGCATGCCATGGTGACAGAGCCTACCTGGCTTTACTGCTCGCTTCTTAACAGAGTCAGAGCCACTTAGGGACTTTATACACAATGGTACCTTGCTATATTGAACAAGGGTATCAACTGCTCCACCCACTTTTTTCTTACAGCCTCTATGTCCTCTGGCCCAACAGTAGGAGTGTTTAATACAGGTACCAAATATGAAATATGGGAGAAAGCATTAGAAATATACTGTATTGTATTTTGGAAAGAGCTTAAAAGTTCTCATCACAGGAAAAAAATTTATGCCTGCATGTGGCGATGGATGTTAACTAGACTTACCATGATGATCATTTTGTAATATATACACATGTTGAATTAATGTGTTGTATATCTGAAACTAGTATAATGTTGTATGTCAATTGAAAAAAAAAGTCAAATATGCCAGATCCCTTCTTTTAACAACTTATGTAAGTTAGCTGTTTATCACTTGTTTTCATGATTAAAAATAATACTGTGTAAAATTTATGTTAGGTAATATGATTGGAATTTACTTGTTATTTTCCTTCATAATGTGAGAGCTTGATGTTATAAAGAGCTTAGCATCTTGAGTTAACAGCATTGTTAGTAATTGGTTTTTTTTCTTTTGTTAAGCCATAAGTATTTTTTTAATGTTTATTTATTTTTGAGGGGAGAAAAGGGAATCATGAGTGGGGGAGGGGCAGAAAGAGAGGGAGAGAGAGAATCCTAAGCAGGCTCTGAGCTGTCACTGTGGGGACCAATGCAGAGCTTGATCTCATGAGCCATGAGATCATGACCTGAGCCAAAATCAAGAGTCGGATTCCTAACCTCTCAGCCACCCAGGGGCCCTAAGCCATTATTATTATTATTTCTTGTCCTGTCTTTCAAAATCAAGATATTTCTCTTTCCAAAGCTCTCATCGCTGTGCTCTATTCCTTTGGTACGGTTTGGTCCTAGAAATATAGGTGAAAGGATGGAGAAGTCCCTGGGAACATGTGGGCGAGCACCTGCAATGGTCCCAATGTGAGCTGAACCATTCCTGTGTAGGCATTTGGCGGTGTTTGGGGTCCTTTTTAGTTGACACAATGACTGAAGGGTACACTCAGCATTTGGAGCCAGAAGCAGGGATGATTAAGGTCCTGAGTGTGTGTGAGAGAATGTTGCTGCCCCCAATCAGACAAGGTGCTTTTAGAGATTGCTAGAGTATCCAGCCTAGTGAATGTGACATTGAGCAATTTGAGAGTGAAGGTGGGGAGGAAAGTCAGGTGAAAATGAAACAGTTTACTTAGCCCCAAGTTGCGAGGCTGTATCGGTTAAGTGTGAGTTGGAAATTTGAAGATGCTTGGCTAACTTGATTTCTTTTTCAGCGAAGGTATGATAATGAAAAGATCTGGGGGACACAGAATACCAGGCTTGAATTGCTGTGGTCAGGGAAGAGCCTGCTACCGCTGGTCAAAAAGGTAGGACTTAGCACTTTTGTGTGTTTGTTTTAATAAACTGGATATTTGGGAAGGTTTCACATACCAGTGTTCAGTTATGAATCAATTATATATCCTTTGAAAATCACAGCAGAGCAAATTTTAAATTATTTTAAGTTCCAGTCTTCAGCATCCATTTAAACATTCAAACTCAAACCTGGACTTGTAGGTGGAGTGTGCAAACTTTATTATATATGTAAAAACCCAGTGGACCACAGAACTCCAACATTGGTCAGCCAAAGAACATACTCAACTGGCCAATAAGCACAAGTAGATATCTCAACATCACTAATTCTTTAGGGGAATGTAAATCAAAACCACAGTGAGGTCCAACTTCACACCTAGTAAGATGGCTCTCATGAAAAAGATACCCAAGAACAAATGTTGGCAAAGACGTGGGGACATTGGAGCAGTACTACATTGCTGGTAGAAATATAAATGGTGCAGCCACTCCAGAAAACAGTGCAGTAGTTCCTCAAAATATTAAACGTAGGAAGTGAGATTACTGGGGCATATGGTAACTCTAGGTATTTACCCAAAAGCATTGAAAAAGATATGTCTGTATCAAAACTTGCAGATGAATGTTCTAGCCGCATTATTCAGAATAGCCAAAAGGTAGGAACAACCTAGCTGTCCATCACCTGATGGATGGTTAAATGAAATGTGGTATATACATACAGTGGAATACTACCTGGCCATATAAAGGAATGAAAAAGACTAATGGATATGGGATTTCTTTCTGGGTTGATGAAACTATATAGTTGTGCAACTTTTTTAATATATTACAAGCCACTGAATAAGTATTCTTTTAAAGGGTTTTACAGTATGTGAATAAAATGTTTACAAATTTTTAATGGGAAAAAAGGAGAAGTACTAATACATGCTATATCATGAATGAATCTAGAAAACATTATGCCAAGTGAAGAAAGCCATACACAAAAGGCCACATATTATATGATTCCATTCATACGCTATGTCCAGAACAAACAAATCTATATAGAGAGAGAGAGTCTGTGAGTGGTTTCCAGGGCTGGGAGGAAAGGACAGTGGGAAGTGACTGCTAAGAGATATGGGGTTTCTTTTGGGCGGTGATGATGTTCTGAAATTAGATATTCATGATGGTGCACAACTTTATGAATATACTAAGAACCACTGAACTGTACACTTAAAAATTAAACTAAAAAGAAAAAAGAAAAATTGGTCAGACTTCAGGGATGATAATTTTAGACCTACATTTGTGAGGATGTGTACTGTACACTTAAAAACTAAACTAAAAAAAAAAAGAAAAATTGGTTAGACTTCAGGGATGATAATTTTAGACCTACATTTGTGAGGATGTATATTATGGTAAGTGTGATATAGACAGAGAATGTTAATTCATATCCTACCCAACCAAAGACTCCTGTGGATCAGTATTCCCATCTGATTCTTATTTGTGTTTGCAAAGCATTTATCACAATGTTTTGAATATAATAAACAATATTTATTGGTTACAATAATAATTTACTGGAGTTTTGGAAAAATATTGAGAAGTATACGTTATTTCCCCAACCTTGAAAAAGATATATGAGCTCAAGTATATATATATATGAAAAATATATAAAATAATATATAAAAAATAAATATAAAATATTTACCTTTATACATATCTAAGATACAGTACCAGCAAAAAATACTGTTAAGTAAGGCTCTTATTTTTTTGAGCCTTATTTTCATCCTTATTTTGAAAGGATGGAAGAAGTTACAAGGAAAAGATCAAGAGATTGGACTAGAAAAAAATTGAAAATTTCTATGCTCTGGTTAGACAATTTTACTAAAAGAAGTAATATACTAGAAAATATGTGTTTTCAGGCAAACTGCTGTCACTCGCATAATCACCCAGTAGGACCCTGGTACAGAGTCCTCCTGAATGCTCCTGACGCTCATCAGCTTTGGCCGAGGTGGCTGCTGGGTGCCAATCACAGGGTTGCAGAGGGCAAGCCCTTGGGAATCCTTGAGGACACTCTGGGCAATTAGGGTCTGCCTGCCTGTGTGCAGAGCTGAGTGGAAGCGTTCACAGCCCCCAGAAGCAGCCCTCAGCCAAGAGCTGGCAGGAGTCCGTCCCCTCAGCCCTCCGATGGGGTGGTTCTGCCGCAAGCCCCGCCCTGTCTCCGGAGTCCCCTGGCAGGCTTGCAGCCCAACTGCCCACTTAAAGTACATGCAGACACAACAAAACACAACAAATCCTTGATGGCCCTCTTTCTGCCCTTCCTTCCCGTCCTTCCCTGCCAGGGCTCCTAACTCCCTAAGATGCCCCGTTTTCATACTATTTTTACTTACATCTTTGTCTCAGAGTTGACTTGTGGGCCAACCCAACCTGAGACATCTCCTCAGGAAACAGAAGCCTTGGTCTGGTCCATGCCGTCAGTTATTGAGTGCCTAACGTTTGCCTGGTTGTGCTCTAGCTCTTGTAAAAAACCAGCAGTGACCAAGACAAAGTCCCTGCCCCCACAGAGCGTTACAAGAGGAGCAATGAAGGCAGTGACGAAGTGGATAAGCAGTGTAAACGTTATCTGTGCAGCACGCGACCAGAGCTTCTTTGAAGGGAAGCGAAGGCAACAGGATGGTGAGGGACTTGAGGATGGGAGAGGGTGACTTTAGCTCCAGATGTCAAGGAACTGCTGTTAGGGTTGTAAGCTTCATGAGAAGGGGCGGCCAGAAAGGATGGGAGCCAGACTTTTATTATATAAAAGAACATACCTCCCTCACATCTTAAACTCTGTCTTGGTTGAAGCCTGATTTAATCCAATCTAAAAAGATATGATCCTCCCTGGGGTGAAATGTGTCCTCATATTAAATGGTGTAAATCTTTCCATGAAGATTGAAGCCTTGGTTTCTTCATTAGTAAGTATTTCCTGAATCACATTTGTGGGATATAAAATATCAGTACCGAAGAAAATGATAAGATAGAGCTGACATTAGTTGAGAAATTTTCTCATGGTAGGAGCTATTGGTATCTAAATAGGTATTACTTTTAAGGATGATGCACTCATAACTTGCTCTTTTTTATATTTGTACCCATAAAACGCATTCTGACCACTTTCTCACTTCTGCTATATTGACAAACCAGATAAAGCAAACAGGGCAATTAAACTTGCAATCAGTTCTCACAATGACCTTGTCTCAGGGACAAGCAGAAAGGAAAAGGAAAAAAAAGACAAACAAGACAAACATTTCTTCCCACAATTTAAAACACCTGCTTTAACAGCTTTTCTTTTGAGCAACTTCTCTGCATCTGGTAGTGGAGCAGATGAGAAGCATCTAATCTTAAATAATGTCTGAAGAGAAGGAGATGTATAGATTTTAAGAAAGAAATGTAGCACTTATTTTACTGACCTTTGAGCTATACCAAGAACTCAAGAGGCACTAAACAAGCAGAGAAATAACTTGAGGTAAGTGTTATGAAGAAGCTAAACATGAGAAGCAGTGGAGTGGGGTGGGCTGGGTTGGGTTGGGGACAGCTTTTTACAGTTGAGTAGCTTGGGAAGGCCTCCCTATGGAGAGATGTTTAATCAGGGAGTTGAGTAACAGGAAAGGGGAGGCCTCCATGGGAGGATCTAGAAGAAATCATTTCCAGGCAGAGGAATAGCAAATGTGGAATCCTCAAAGAACAACCTTGGCAAGTCTAGGAATAGCCAGACCTAGGAGGTAGGAGAGAACAATGGAAGGTGAGGCTGAGAAGGTCATGGCTGGCTCCTGTGGTTTGGCCACATTTGAATGTCCCAGCAAGCAGTGGCCTAGGCATGAGGATTCTTGTTAGAACAGACTATGATCTCACTTACTTTGGAACAAGAATGTTTGTAAAAGTGCATATTTATTGGCGTGAGGCATGGTGCTGAGCTATGTACATGAATCATCTGCTATTTCTCACAGACGTGTCTGAGCTGCTCTTATCCCCATAGTATGGATTTAGATCTCAGGCTCAAGTTCACACGGTCAGGCAGTTGGCAGAGCTGGGATCAGAGCCCGGGGAGGATAACTTGCTGGTACTGTCTCCTAAAGGCTGGCTAACCAACTCCCCTCTTGACGCATATTCTCCTATTAAAGGAAAAAAAAACATATATTGACAAAAGAGAGAAAGAAATCAGAAGAGTTTAATGAATGGCATAATTACGAAGAACTTTATATAAAGGCCAGAAGTCAATTTACCCTGATATCTAGTGATGATTAAAGAGAATTTGGTACCAAAATAGAAATTATTATCTTTTGCACTCAGCTTTTAAGATCCAGCTGTCATTGCTATGGAGTTCTGTATGTCCAGGCTGCCACCTCTTGGAGGGGTAGGGGAGGAATGCACATGGGATGCCCCAGGCGTGGCACCCTCAGGGCTGACCAGGCCTCTGGCCCCGCAGTACACCAGCCATCTCATTGTCATTGCTGAGGAAGGTTGTTTATAGCCTGTACAGAGCCTCTGTGCAAATTAGAGAAAAGTATCCATTTCTGCGGGAAGCCACAGCCTACCTCAGAGCCCCCTGCTCAGGGTGTGCTGGTGCAGGGCACATCAGCACAATGGTACCTGGTGGCCAGTTCCTAAAGGCATGCTTTCCTTGTTGTGCCACCAGCCTCTGCCTTCAGCAGCATTTCTGGGATTTGTTTTGCAATGCCGACCATGGGAGCTGGTACATCTGGATAGGGTCATCCCATCGTTATCCCACACTGTCGTCTGTGCGTGGAGCTCTGTCGAGAGCCGGCTCTGGACCCATTTCTGTATCCTGGGCTTCCAGGAAGACAGGTGCACAGGTCTGCGATGGTTGGCTTTCTTCTCAAATTGGCAAACCTGACCCTGGGGGGCTTCAAAGCCTGTGGCTCCTTCCCAGTCGTCAGCATAGCACAGCAGTCTCGTGGGCCTGTGGCGTGCCATGTGCCCGCTAACTTGTACCACAAGCCAAGCTGGGACAAGGGACTGCCGCTAATGAAGGAACTTTAACAGATATGGGATCCATCCACTCTCTTTTATCGTTAACTGAGTTTTATCGACAGGCAAGCCACATGTCTGCATTCGTAACTCAGGCCCTCAGAACCACTGAGTCCTCGATTATAACATGGCGAGCGCATTTATGTTGAGCAATGTTGTGAGAATTCTTATAAAATGTGTTATTTTGGCATTTGCTGACAGTCATTGAGAATATTATCCATTATACTATTCAGTTGCCTTCCATTAGATCCCACATGAGAAACTTGTTTGGAATCTAATTTTTTGGCGGGGCGGGGGACACACCTTTTTATTTCTTTAATTTATTCACTGGGTAAGAAAAACCAGGAAGCTCAGATCCACCCTGGCATGCCAATACCATAATTATGTTAATGTTGTGGCTAGGTATCTGCTTTTCGTGCCCTTGATGCTTTTCCTTTTATTAACCATATCCAATGTATGTCCTTTACTGTACATTATCCAAGATCCATCCCATGTTTTTATTGGGTAGGAGCCAGCATATATATTTAAAACAACAAGTGAATGAAATGAAACTATGTGGAAACTAATGTAGATTTGTCTGTATTAAATCCCAATTATAAAGCCACTAAATCATAATGTGGTTAGCAGTTTCAGTAATGATTTGTTATAGATTACCTTTAGATGCTGACTTCCCGTGTCAACAAAAATGTGTACAACATTGTGATTCAACATTTATATACATTATAAAGTGCTCACCGTGATACGTATAGTTACCACATCCCTTTTTTATGGCTGAGTAATTCCACCACGTTTTCTTTATCCATTCACTGATGGACACTTAAGTTGCTTCCATATCTCATCTATTGCAAATAGTGCTGCAATAAAATTGGGGTGCAGACTTCTCTTCAAATTAGTGTTTTTGTTTTCTTCAGGTAAATACCCAGAAGTAGAAATGCTGGATCATATGGTATTTCTGTTTTTATTTTTTTTTTAGGAACCTCCATACTGTTTTCCATAGTGGCTGCACCAGTTTACATTCCCAGGAGTAGTGTACCAGGAGTCTTGTTTTCTCTTCGTCCTCACCAACACTTGTTATTTCTTGTCTTTTTGATAAGACAAAAAATTCTGTAGCCACAGAATCTGCATTTTTAACAGGATACCCATGTGATGCAGATTCACAGCCAAGTATAAGAGGAGTTATTTTATATTATTATAGTAGCTTGCCAACCTGCACATTTCGTTCCTCTTTATCCTTCACAGCTTTCTTTCTGAAATACAGTTACAATGATATTATCATCCTGTTTCTTGCCAGGGCATGAGGATTCTCTTATTTAATAAGAACCCTGGTGTGTGTGTATGTCTGTGTGTGTGTGTGTGTGTGTGTGTGTGTGTGTTAAACACAGATTGTCAGGCCTTTTTAATGGATCTGTGGTGGGGCCTGGGAATCTCAAGAGATTCTGATGGCAAAGCATTTTTAGGAAACACTGGTTCAGTGATATAAAATCAGCCTCCTGAGCATTTCCATCAGACCCTCCTCAATATGGCCTTTGTCTCTTTTCCTGTCTCCACTCATTTGCTCACTTTTCCTTACTAAACTCCCTGAGACCATAGCCTCACCAAACTCCCAACACATGCAGCATTCCCCCACCTCACTGCCTTTGTCAACTCTTCCCTTAATGTGGGATGTGCATCTTGACACCATGTTTTGGGCTTTATTTAACAGGTTCCTTTCTGGCCTTGCTCCGATCCACATCTTTGGGAGGGTGCCTCTAGCCCTTTCTCTTAGAACTAAGGACTCCCTCCTCCTTACACCCATTACCTTTTCATTTTCTAGTACCTAGTTCGCACCCCACTAACCTAGTAAGCTCTTTGGAAATCTCTGTACTATTTCCACCTCTGCCCTAACTCCCAGCTGATCACTGTATTTTTCCACTATGAAGCTCTCAAATATATATTGAATGCATACATACTTTTGAGAGATCATGTCCTATTGAACATCACTTATCAATAGTCCTCAAAACCACAAGTAATTTGAAATTTTTTTAGTTTATTTGGTTTGAGAGAGAGAAAGAGCAAGAAAGAGAAAGAAACTGTGCACAAGCAGCGGTGGGGCAGAGAGAGAGGGAGAGAGACAATCCCAAGCAAGTTCCAAGCTGTCAGTGTGGAGCCCAATGCAGGGCTCAAACGCACAAACTGTGAGACCATGAGCTGAGCTGAAACCAAGAGTCGGACGCTTACCCGACTGAGCCACCCAGGCGCCTCAAAACCACAAGTCATTTGAAATGAAAAACAGTATGTGGAGTATTAGGTGCTCACTGGGTTATTTTCAAAGGATGATTTTTATCTGCTGAGAGACTTATTTGCCTCTTTTATGATAGTTTATTGTAGCAAACATTTTCCCAGTGCATTTCCATTTCTGCAACAGTTCGGGCCGCTGCTGTACACCCTGCACTCACCACCTGCTGGTGTTAAGGGCATTCTTTCAGGCTTTGTCATTAGTGTATAAAAAGCTAATGCAGCACTTTGAATTGCTTGCTGCTGGTACTTCTTACGAAAATATAATAGACTTCCCATTAGCTTTTGTTGTTGTGTCATGGTGATTTTTAAAAAAGAAATCCTCCATGTAAAAAATTATCTTATATGTACGATCTGCTGGAGTGTTTACCTAGTTTGTCATAATTTGTTGGTTTTGTTTCAATAATTCAACACAACTCTAAAAATACTTATTATCTTCTTACAGGTGGTTGATAGTGAAAGATTCCTTTTTATTGTATATGAAACCAGACAGTGGTGCCATCGCCTTTGTCCTGCTGGTAGATAAAGAATTCAGAATTAAGGTGGGGAAGAAGGAGACAGAGACAAAATATGGGCTCCGAATTGATAATCTTTCCAGGTAGAAATTTTAAATATTTTAAAAAGATTTCTCTTAAAAACAAAGTTTTTCTCCCAATGTTAAGTGAAGAAGGAGGTAAAATCATTTAAATGTTAGAACATGGTTATTTAGAACTCATCTTCAATCAAAAATAATGAAACTGCTTTTCTTTCTATATATATGTTTTTAAAGTTTTTAATGATTTATTTATTTCTGAGAGAGAGAGAGTGAGAGAGCAAGAGAGAGCGTAAGCAGGGGAGGGTCAGAGAGAGAGAGGGAGACACAGAATCTGAAACAAGCTCCAGGCTCTGAGCTAGTTGTCAGCACAGAGCCCGACGCGGGGCTTGAACCCACAAACCACGAGATCATGACCTGAGCTGAAGTCGGATGCTCAACCGACTGAGCCACCCAGGCGCCCCTCTTTCTATATATTTTTAAGAACTAACTCTTTAATGTGCAACAGTCAGAATAAATAATCCCATGTATTGATTTGTGCTTGTTTTAACAGATTGCACGCCTGTTAATAAAATTCACTACTCAATAATACGAATTTACCAAACAGATAAATTAAGGAGTAATAGTTTCACAGTTTTAAGAAATAAAACTTTATAAATTGATATCCTTTAGTTAACATAGAAATGTGATTTGATTTACAAAAATTCTATTTACACATAGATTTTAAGAAATCTCTGGGAAGGATACTCAAGCATACATTTACTATAGATTTTATTAGTGAGTGTATGTGTGTGTGTTGATAAATGTTTCTTTCTGGAAGACTTTGGCTATAATATGTGTTGTCATTTCTCTATAGATACACTTGGCTCTATAGTTCAGCCTCATGTATATGAATATATCATACATGTATTTTTCTCTGTGTTCACACATTGACTATATACATACACATGCACACCCTTTCTAGTACATATTGGTGTGTGTTTTATGTGTCTGTGTATGTATGTGTAGAAGGTTTAAGATTATCCCCCTCACAGCCTGATACAACTCTAGGTCATAGTAAATACGTACCTTTATGCACATTAGCATGAAGGAGTGAGTAAATAACTTGGAAATTTATTTTTGCTATATTGCTATATATAGATATATAGTTTAAAAGCTTGCTGAAAATGTTTAGAAGTCTGCTTTTTTTGATAAAAGGAAGATACTCTTTGCTTAAAATTTGCAACCTGTGTTTGCTGCAGTACAAAAACAAAATGGCACATGTTTAATTGTTAAATTTTTTTAAAGAGACAGACTAGAGAGTGATCACTCTTTCCCACATTTTGCTTTTCTTTGAAGGACACTTATTTTAAAATGCAACAGCTATAGACATGCTCGGTGGTGGGGAGGGGCTATAGAAGAATTCATCCAGAAATACGGTACCAACTTTCTCAAAGACCATCGATTTGGGTCCTATGCTGCTATCCAAGAGAATACGTTAACCAAATGGTAAGATCATTTTGCTCTAAGGCTGTTGAGGTAGTCTTGGTATCTAATATAACAGTGGGTCTAAATTCATTTAGAATCAATTTTCGAGGCTGTGGCAAGGTATTATGCATTATACTTAACAAGGGCCTTTCCTTATAGGACTACCTAAGCATAGATTAGTTCTCCAACTTTTGTTTTTAAGATTTTTAAAGTGAGCTTGAGACAGTGGCTTTAGATTTTGAAGCTTGATTTTAAAAGCTTAACTTCGTACATTTTTAATGCTGCAAATGAAATGTTTATTTAATTTATTAGCCATAATTTAAGGATGAGAACTTACTTGCCAGGGATTTCTTTTAAATAAAAAGTGTTGCGTAGCTTTCTGCCCATGGATTGGAAACTGGTCTGTTTTCAGTTTCAGAAGAACAACGGTGTGAGTTCAACAGCATTAAGAGAATTTATCCGACTCATGATAATGAGGCCAATTTGTTGTGCTTTTGGCAGAATCCGGTCACTTACTTCTGTCTACTTACTGCACTTCCTGCTAGTAGACAGAATGTGGTATTTTCAATGGTTGGTTTTTAGTTATGCAAAGTAAACTGGTAGCTTTGTAGAAACTCAGGCAGTGGCTTCATCTTTCACTTTGCTGTAAGATAGGTTTGCTTTTTCTTTCTTTCTGTACAACAAAAATAAATGAAACAAACAAACAAAAATCCTTGTTTTTCAGGTACGTTAATGCCAAAGGATATTTTGAAGATGTGGCAAATGCGATGGAAGAGGCACAGGAAGAGATTTTTATCACGGATTGGTGGTGAGTATTTTTCTGTGGCGATTTTGTCCGGAGATCTCTCTGTTTAGAAATGTAAAACAGTTGCGCTGTTCCAGAATCGTACATTATGAAAACCAGCAGTACCTGTAGATGGTCTGGCCAGAGTCTCAACCAATGAACTGGAATAGCCTTGGCTGAAAGGTCTTTTCAAAAAACTTGGCATCCAAATATATCCTGAAAATATTTAGTTTTAACAATTTTGGTTTTGTCTTTCCAGTTTGAAGTAGAGGCTCAAATATTCATTTTAGTAAAGATTATTTTGCAGTGCAAACGCAGTTATACAAGTGAGAGAAAAGAATCTTCCTTCGGTGCCTTCCTCATTCGGCATCTCAGTCCCCAGATTTGGTGAATATCGTTCTGGATTGTCCCTTTGGAGCTGGAAGAGTTCCATTTGCCTATTACTATTTAAATGTCCTCGGTATTGACTAGGCTGCTCAGCTTTTTTGGAGATACATCAGATTTCAACTGTTTGGCCCCCTTTACAAATCTTCACAAGAGTTAGGATGCTTCACAGAACCACTGGAAATCTCACACCGGAAACTCACTTAGCTCTTGGGAAATTGTTCTCTTGGAGTTGGTGTGCTTGATAGTTTGACTTTAGCTACAGTTATCCATCTGCCTGGACAGTTAAAACCCATTGCAGGTGCCAACATTGACTACAGTGGAAATGAACCTGTCTAGAATGTATTCTCCTTCTAAGAAGTGAGTTGTTGAAATGTTCCTTATTTTTCCCCATCCTGTTTCCTTCCAAATGCTACTTTTCACGTCTAAACTGTAAAAATATCGTCATAATTTATTTTCTCCTGTTTTTAGATTTTGGGGGCAAGGAAGAGGAATTAGGAAAATGAACTCATCTTCTTCTACTCTTTTTTGTTAATTTGGAAATCTGTAATTCTACAGCATGCTTTCCCAATCTGGGCACTATTGACATTTTGGACCAGATAATTCTCTTTGTTATGGGAGGTTGTTCTGTGCATTGTGGGTTGGTTAGCACCATCAGCAGACCTGGTTTTTATGCTTTAGATGCCAAGCAGGTCCCTATTTTGTGATAATGTCTTCAGACATTGCCAGATGTCCCTCAGAAGGCAGAGTTCTTCTTAGTTGAAAACCGCTGATCTAGGGTCGATGGATAAACTGTGTGCGGGCACCCGGGTGGCTCAGTTGGTTAAGTGTCCAACTCTTGATTTTGGCTCAGATCATGATCTCACAGTTAGCAAGTTTGAGCCCCACATTGGACTCTGCTGGCAGTGCAGAGCCTGCTTGGGATTTTCCCTCCCTCTCTCTCTTGCCCCCCGCCCCTTCTGCTTATGTTCTCTCTCTCTCAAAATAAATAAATAAACTTAAAAAAGATAAGGTGTATGATGGTCAGCATCATGTCTGTGAACCTATTCATTCTCATGTGTGTAGAGGAACTGAATCTTGGCCTTTATAGTCACATTTTGTCTCTTCACTCAGTTACCATGAATAAGAAAGTTTCATACTTAGGAGCTATTTCTTTGGTTGAATATTTTATAAACACTTACACAAATAAATTCAAGCTTAATATAGTACTCTATTCCTTTAGAAAATATTTCTGAAAGCTTGATGAAGACATGAAAGAGACTGAAAATAGTTTTTCCATTGAGCCTATATTTTCATGTTTTATGCAACAAAATAATATTCTTTTGAAGGTTCTGAACACTAAAATACAGGCTCTCATTTAAACATCTAAAGAGTTGGAGCCTTGAATGTTTTCTACTGTCAGCAAGAAAATAAACCAGGTTATTTCTTTCCTATGACTGTCTAGGATAACATCCTATTACCACACTCTCTTTGAAATAAAACCTTCATTGCAACTTCCCTCATGACAGGTGAAGAAAGTTCTTGCAATGCAAGTATATTGCAAAAGACAGCATCAGAAACTTAACCAATGGTGGTATGTCTAGATCTGAGAGAGTGAAAAGCATAGGTAGAAGATTCACATGTCCTGTAGAAGCTTCTGATCCAATTCAAGAGCTACCATATGCTTTTTTTAAAAATGTCTTTTTATTTATTTCTGAGAGAGAGAGAGACAGCATGAACAGGGGAGGGTCAGAGAGAGAGGGAGACACAGAACTGGAAATAGGCTCCAGGCTCTGAGCTAGCTGTCAGCACAGAGCCCGACGCGGGGCTCGAACCCACGAACCGTGAGATCATGCCCTGAGTCAAAGTTGGACGCTCAACCGACTGAGCCACTCAGGGGCCCCAAGAGCTACCATATACTTAAATGAAAACCGAACTAATAGATTTATAAAATAATTCATGTGCAAACAAGGGTAGATATATAGCCAAATGAGAAGCAACTTCAGAGCTTCTAGTGATTAGTTCTTTTGTTCATTAATTCATTCAACCCCCCAGGCATTCACTCATTAACTGATTCACTCATTCTTTCCAGATCTGTTTATTGAGCACCCCCTCTGTGACAGGTACCAAACTCGTATATAAAGATGACTGAGAAGCAGCCCCTACCCTGGAGCAAGATAGAGTCAGAAGTTAAACGGAAGACAACAGATGGGGGAAAACTGAGTGATGAGCGCTAAGATAGCAGGAGGCTGTGAAGAAGGAGGGAGCCCTGAGGCGGGATAATGATGACTAAGTCTACAAAGCTTCACCTAAGAGAAGGCCGGCCTGGGGTTGACCAGATGAAGATAGGTGAATGTTTTCAACAGAGGGATAGCCAGGACCGAGGCATAGAAGCATGAGAGTGCATAGTGACGTTGGAGGAGGGTAGGGGTTGTGTGGGGCTGAAGCATAACATCTTTTGGAATGGTGGGTGGAGACGGCACCCGAAAGATGAGTCAGGGGAAAATTATGAAGGGCACTGGCGGAGCTGCTAAGGAGTTTGCACTTAGTCCTGTGAACACTGGGAACCACTGACAATTTTGAAGCATGGGGATTTTAATCAACTTTGTTTTCTAAAAGGGGTAATTCTACTAATTGTATAAACGAGGAATTAAACATTGGTTCTGGAGACCACTTGGCATGCTGTTGCTATGGTCCAGGAAAGAAATGGTAAGGGTCTTTGCTCAGACCACCTTAGGGACCTGACAATTATAGACTTGGGGAAAGTCTTATCTTTCTAAGGGGTAGTTTCTAAGGCACAAAGTAACACTGACAAGAATAGTTACCATTTGTTCAATTCTTATAAGTGCGAGGGGTATGTTATAGCTGTGAAAGGGGAGACTCATAAAGGGGGTAAGGAAACTGCCCACAGTCACACCGTTGGCAAGTGCCATTGCTGGCACTGGCTGGGCTCCAGGTGTGTCTGCGGTAGTGCCCTGTGTTGTGGAGCTGCCTCTCAGGGAAGCCTGCTGCTCAAGTGGTATCTGAAGTTCCTTTTATTTTTATTATTTATTTATTTATTGAAGTTCCTTTTAGATCCAAGATTCTTTGTGTGCAGATTGAATTGTTTTTGAGGTACTAAATACATTAGTAGTCAGATTTAGATAGATTTAGTTACGAGAAATTTTCTAAAGAGGTAAATTGTGAGGTAGGTTGTCTAGTTAGAAGAGATAATGCGTCATTAAAGAACCCAGACTATCTGAAAACTAAGAAGAGCTCGATGTTGAAGGTGTCCTAAGAGATAGTCTCCATATAATGATTAGTGAGCATTCTCCACCTTGTGTATCTGGATTAACCACAAGAACGTTTGTTTTATGTCTTTTCTGTGCTTGGTGTGGTTTCAAGGACTTAGCTCTTCAGTGTTCATTGGAGTATGTCCTCAAAGGAGGTTGGACACCAAGAGGTGGCGACAAGCTCCCTTGCTACATTGCTAATTGCCCCTAGGACAGATCTGGAGAGCCTGGCGGAGCTCAGATTTCTTCTCGATGGTGGTGATTATGATGCATCAGGCATGTGCGAGCAAGCATGGGAACAATGGCCTGTGGGGTCTTCCCTGTGGTGGGTTCTCTACGCAACCTGTCAGGGGGACGAGAGCGAGAGCAAGGGGGGTCTGCCTCAGCCTCTCTGCTGAGCCTGTGCATGAACCGTGCAAAAACTGATAGGATGAGTTAAACTGAAGAATTTTAAAAACCAGATTTTTTTCAGGTTTTAATTTTAATTCCAGTATAGGTCATGTACAGTGTTATATTAGATTCAGGTGTACAATATAGTGTTTTAGCAGTTCTGTACATTGCTCAGTGCTCGTCATGAGGAGTGTACTCTTTATCACCTATTTCACCCATGCCCCCACCCTCTTTTCCTCTGGTAAGCATCAGGGTGTTCTCTACAGTTAGGAGTCTGTTGTTTTGGTTTATCTCTTTTTTTTTCCTTTACTCGTTTGTTTTGTTTGTCAAATTCACCATATGAGTGAGACCGTAGGGTAGCTGGCTTTCTCTGACTGATTTATTTCACTTAGCATTATACTCTCTAGCTCCCTCCATGTTGTCACAAATGGCAAGATTTCATTCTTTCTTACGGTTGAATAATATTCCATTACACACACACACACACACACACACACACACACACACACACACCCTATTCCACATTTTCTCTATCCATTTGGCTATCGATGGACACTTGGGCTGTTTCCATAATTTAGCCATTGTAAATAATGCTGCTATAAACATAGAGTTGAATTAGTGTTTGTATTTTTTGGGTCAATACCCAGTAGTATGATTACTGCATTGTAGAGTAGTTCTATTTGTTTATTTTTTGAGAGAGAGAGAGAGAGAAAGAGAGAGAGAGAGAGGTGGGATTTGAAGCAGATTCTGCACTGAGAGCAGAGAGCTGGTACGGGGCTGGAACTCATGAACCGTGAGTCAAAACCAAGAGTTGGACACTTAACTCACTGAGCCACCCAGGCCCCCATATTTTTAACATTTTGGGGAACCTCTATACCTTTCCACAGTGGCTGCACCAGTTTGCATTCCCACCAACAGTACTCGAGGGTTCTCCTTGCCAACACATGTTATCTCTTAGGTTGTCGATTTTAGCCATTCTGACCATTGTGAGGTAGTATC